TAATCTTCCACCTACTATCAAAAGTTGAAATCATGATATAAAAATGTTTAAACCAGTTTTAAAAGAGTATCTCCTATCTCACTCCTACTCAGTAGAAGAATTTACATTGCCTAAAAAGTCTCAACTATTATAAATAAATGTAATTAATAATGGTGATGGTTTCTTATGATAATTATTTTGCTGTAATACTGTAGTTCCAAAAATCTGTAAATAGCTGTTATAACTATGTATTTATATTTGTACTGCAAACAAGTATTGTATTTGTGCTATGACCTGTTCTACATCCTTGGCATAGGCCTATGGTAGGATGTATGGAATGTAAATAAATTCTGTTATAGTCAGTAGTGCCAAAAAGTGTTTATATGCTTAATTTGTACTAAAGTAGAATTGTTTGTAGCACAGAAATAGTTGTTGAAGGGCGGTAGTAGACATTGTGATAAAGTAATAGACATGTTACACTCAGATTTACTTACATTCTTGCCTATATTTTTATGTTAATTTACGAGTCTTGAAGCAGATGGTTTTTGCCCCCGTCTCCCCAATCACAGCTATAGGTCTAAAAGTGTTTTTATTTTAGTCAGTTCTTATCTGCTTTGTGCTTAACATGTTTCATCAGTTCTTGATATTATTGAGGGCTTTTCTTTATGCCACTTAGGTTATCATTAATACTGTCTTCACCTACTCTCAGGTTTTCCAAGTGGTCTTTTCCCTTCAGGCTTCCAATCAATGCATTTCTTATCGCTGCCATGCTTGCTGTTTGTGATTTTACCATCCTCAGTATTTTGTGAAGAATATAAATTATGAAGTTCCTGTTGTTAGTTTTCACAAACCTCTGTAAGTGAACCTTCTTTGATCAAAATATTTTCTCTACTGACCTGTTCTCAAACACCCTCTTGCAATTACAAGAGGTAAAGTTACAGTTTAGTAGATTGTAATTTTATTTTAAAGGTATGAGGTGGAAAGACAAAAGAGTATGAACTTGATAGTAGTAAATCAGTTAAGTAATTTTAAATAAAATTTCTACTTATATCAGCTACAAACCAGTTAAATTAAAAGAAATCAAAAACACCCAGAATAATCACTGATCAATTTGAATGTTTAAAACAAATTAAATTGGTGCTGCATTACAGCACCTTTGAAGTTGCAACATTTCATTATGGTCCAACTTAATATTTGTAGGTTAAAATAAGGTTATCCCCTGTGCTCTGGTAACATATCATACATTTATATGGGGGAGTGAAGGTATAGCTCCATGTCTTATTTACCATAATAGCATTAGATGTAGGTTAGTTCTCAACTTCATGCCTCACATAAAACCATTATTGATGAAAGACTCTCGGGCTACAAGCCATGTCAGGTGGCTTGAAGGCCAAGTCTCTTTCATAAAATTCAGTCGCTGCGAAAGCTTCACTTTATACAACAACTTTTCATTAGATAAGAGGGTGGGCGGGCTTCAGAGCCACTCTGTTGTGAACAGAAAAATTGTCCTGACTGGAATAAAATCCCAATCTACCTGTAGCCTAGTCATTATGCTGACTTAGTTATCCTGGCTCCTGTAATTTATACATGTTGTTGGAAAGCAACGTTGCTATGGGCAACCATTTGGTAGGCCACTCAAGAGCAAGAACCAGCACCCAGTTTTAACACTTTTGATACCAAGCCCCGCCACTGGACATATCACGAGCCGGGGAAAAAAAATTATGTTTTCTCCATTAACTTATAACCCCATGACCCATACTAAGATTATTCAGCATACAAGTTATCAAGTAACACAATACTTGCTTACCTGCAGTAGGTCCCACTTTCTGCAAGCATCATCACTGTGCACAACTGAAATAAAAAGTTTGGTTTGTACACAACAAACTTGCTCTTTTGTGATATTTTTGGTGGGCCCTTAAAAGGGCCCTAAAGGAAACAGAATAAACAATTTTTGAGAAGAGAAAACCTAGGATTCATTGATTTTAAGGTAAAATTTTAAAAAGAAAATAATGGGATTTCTGGTTTAGCATGAGTGTTTCTTTGGCAAAGGTTAAAGGATGGTTTGAAGCTGATGTAGAAAGGAAAATGTGACATACTGGTAGTGATAGGATAAGTATTGAGATCTAGGAAATACATAACAAAAATATAAGGAACACAGGACATACACAATTATACAGCAACCAATATCACTTCCTGCTAGGCCTAAATTATTGCACATAGCAACATTTTTTATGTGGAAGACACAATGATCTTGATTTCTTCTTAAATGTCTCTCAAGTGTTTCTCAATACATTGTATACAGTTCCAATAATTGGCTTTCTTCTACTGATTTGATGACAATGGGTCAGCAGTGCCCAATGATGCGATGATACTGAAAGACGAAGGATTCCTCTTCGAATACTTTGTACTGAACTGCATTTAGATGGGACGCTGAGACTTCAAACTCGAATGTTGAAGTTAGTGTTTCACTTGGTCCTTTAGGTATTTGAAAGTTGTCTTATAAACTTTCACTGTACACAGGCAGATGGCTTCAGTGAGAAATGAACAGATTGAAGGTTTATGTAATGTTATTAGATGGGAGGGCAAACCCATGTCATGGAATGTTACAAAATTAATCAGCAGCGGTCCAGAGGCTGTTTTAAAACAGTTCATCTGAATCTTGCATGAGCATGATGCACTGAAGTCACTCATATACTGCAGAATCCTCATTGTGTATCTTGCATTCCTGATACCTAGACGACATCCCTCTCAAGTATGTCCAATTCCAAATGCTATTAAATTTCAATGGGGAGGGGGAAGACATCCCACACAGTCCAACAAGGACATAAGTCCACCGATTTTCCAACTTTATGGAATGAATTCTGAATTAATTCTACCTTTTGAGAGGCAGTCAACAAGCATTTGTACCTTGTTATCACATGGAAGGAACTGTAAAACCTGAGTATCTCTATATAACAAATGACTATTACTAGTCATTGTACAATAAAAGGGTGGCTCCCTCAGATCATAAAAACATACCATATACAATTAAAGTTTACAGGCAACTTTCATATCATCACAGACAATTTAAAAAATAGCATTATCTTCTACACAATATTTACAATCTACGTGGTATAAAATCAATGACCTCTTTGACTAGATACTAATACAAATCTTTGCTCAGTCTCTCAAGGTCATTTGGACATGATGAAACACTAACTTATATGGAAATGAGTAGAAATTACTACTACTGTTAAGTAATCTGAAGAACCTTCCTAATACAAATTCTACTGAATGAGTGATACAGTAGTGGGTCTACCTGTGATTTAACTTCTGAATGGCAAGAGCCACTTTTAATCATTGTGTCTGAATTAAAAACCACTTAACCTACACTTATAGACTATTGAAACTTGATAACAAATATTTATTCCAGAGCTAAATTATCCAAAGATGGAAATCACATTATAATGAAACAGCTGATCAGATATTTAAAAATTCAGTAGTGATGAAAAACTTTTCAAGCAGACAGCACTGTCTGATGACAAATACAAATTTTAATCCCTCTCATTCCTTTCATTAAAATTTTAAGAATTCCTTCTCAGAACAATCTAGCTGCTCTATGATTTCGAATTTTGAAAATCTGAACACAAAACCCACACTTGAAATGTTCACAACTAATTAGTTGAAAGATGAAATTACTCTATTACTATAACTGCAATTCTTGCAGTCAAACTACAAAGACCACATTGATGTTTACATAAGTGAGCAAAACAATGATTTTTATCTTTGCTGGAAAGAATGTTTCTTTCCATACTGATTTGCCAATTGCAGTATTTGATACAGAAATAGAAAAATTACACAAACAATTTCATGTTACAGCTTTTAAAAATTACCATTTTACTATAACAATACCAAAGATGCATCAACATTGTTCTGCCCACATACTGTGTAGTAAATAAACCTTCCCACATAAAAAGGAAACTACAAAACATTCAGTTTAGCTTCCCATTATACATATTCTAAAATACATGATTACATCTTTGCACTTTATACTCTTAGAGTCCACCCATTAGTGACCTGCATCAGAAGAGTCAGGCTGAAACATTCAGCAGCATTTTAAGTTGATTTGATATTT